GAGATGGTTTGGGGTGAGCTGGACCGCAGAGTGAAGGCAAAGGGGCCAACAAGTGCTAAACACCTCTGGGAACTCCTTCAAGACTGTTGGAAAACCATTTCAGGTGACTACCTCTTGAAGCTCATGGAGAGAATGCCAAGAGTGTGCAAAGCAGTAATCAGAGCAAAGGGTGGCTATTTTGAAGAAACTAGAATATAAAACATGTTTTCAGTTATTTCACCTTTTTTTGTTAAGTACATAACTCCACATGTGTTCATTCATAGTTTTGATGCCTTCAGTGAGAATCTACAATGTAAATAGTCATGAAAATAAAGAAAACGCACTGAATGAGAAGGTGTGTCCAAACTTTTGGCCTGTACTGTATCTATATGTATATATATATATATATATAGAGAGAGAGAGAGATAGATATATGCTAGATATATGTGTTTATCATTCATACCTTCCTGACATATCAGCAGGGTATACAGTGTATGAGGTAATTAGATATGCACTCAAGCCTTTCAAGTCTTGCTGGGTTTATAATAATGACCCATAGAATAACAAATACATAGGAAATGTGCGCCCTTCTGGCTGGAGGACCTGATCACACTTGTTGCTGTGTGGATATGACACATTCGTGGGCTGAACAAAAGTGATGTGTTGAATACAATTATGTGGCTAATAAACTGCTTTTGTTGTTGGAAGAAGTTGTCTCAAGATAAAGATATGGCAGTGCTTCCAAATAGCATTTTTGTTTTTTACTTCTCCTGTAACATTATCCCCACCACTTGCATTCCCCATCTTTCTCAGCTCAGCTTCCTGTTCACGAGTAAAGACTGACCTCTGGTGGTGCATGATTCGCACCACATCATCTCAATACATCAACTCTTAATCATTTTAGTTGGGAGATGAGGGTCTGTAGTTATGACGGTATTGAAAATCGTATGTTTGAGATTTCGGAATATGCCTAGATATCACCCCTGCCTAGTTGGGAATAGCTTCCACTAGAACCTGTGTGTAAAATAAATAGGAGGGGTTGGAATTAGATAGTTGTTTAGAGGCCATTTCATTCATCTAAATTGTTTGTACCTTGTTGCAGTTGTTGGCCTTTGAAGATGGTCTTGTGAGTGTTGAGAATAGCAAGCCTAGGTTTTACACTGTTCAACCAGGTTTAATTTTCCAATTCGTATTGTTATGTGTTGTAAGGATATTTCATGTATATAAATTGTTTGTCCTTGTTTGACCTTGAAGATTGGCTATTAGCCTGCAACCTACTACCATTTTGGGTTACATAATGTATTTAGGATTCAAGCCCAAAGGGCTGAAACCCTATTATTTTTGTCCTGTTTTATTATTATTAGGGATTTCAGCTCGTAGTTTTTGTCCTGTTTCATTATTATTATTATTATTATTATGATTGTTATTATTAGGGGTTCAAGCCCAAAGGTCATAAAACCTGTTGGTAATCTTTAATGCAGGTGTCCTGAACTGTCAGAGATCTTTATCTTACCCAGCTTTCAAGTTTTAAATTGCTGCTTGCGACTATATTTATGAATAATAATTTCTGATATGAAATAGCCATTCTTCTGACAATCATTTCCAGTCCCATTCCACTCAGTTAAACTGTTCTTGATGCATTCTTGGTTTTCATAACACCCCAGACTTACTAATGTAGACTAGTGCAGGTTGTGTAGAAATGGAGGTTTGTTAAAAATTACTTTTTTTTCAATGGTTTTTTTTTCTCTCTCTCTGATGAAGGACCACAGACCCTCTGCCAGTTATCTTTCTAAGTTTTCTCCTCCATTTTAAAACATAATCAGTCAACCATGCCTCTGAGGATTCCCCTTTCATACCAATTATGATGCCACCACCTGTTATCAATGAACTTGTTTACTTGTGGAATGTTCCAAACAGGTTTTTTGAGCATTCCACAACTTTCCCAGTCTTTTCTTGCCCCGGTCTCAACTTTTTTGGAACATGCTGCAAGTATCAAATTCAGAATTAAGTGTAAATGTATTAGTTTGAACATTAAATATCTTCTCTTTGTAGTGTTTCCAATTGAATACAGATCATAAAGGATCTGTAAATCATCATATTATTTTTTTATTTGCATTTACAATGTCCCAACATTTTTTTTGGAGCCAGGGTTGTAGTGTGGAGTACTACAGCTTGGGGCCCATCCCAATACCTACCCTTAGCCCTTCCCCTTGGCCCTACCCCTACATTTGCACGTTCCTGCCAGGGGTGTCCCAATTCCTTTTTGCACACGCAAAGGGGGGCATAACGAGGGGTAGTGGGTAAACTAGCCCTTCGGAGCGAGGGATTTCAGATGCTGACTTGCCAGCGAGGAGTAGACGTCGCCATGGCTACCACTGAGCAAGAGACGGGGAAAAAAGTTCATACATAGCTAACGTTACCGTCGTCAGGTTGCTTGTTAGCTAGCTAGCTAGCTCGCACTATCTGGCATCTGTCATCTGTCCTCTAATGCAAAATTGTCGGATTTTTCGCATTACGATAACACGCCAGCTAGCATAACTACTCTGCCTCGTAATGTTAGCTGGTTAGTTAGCTGTCTAGCTAGCAGAAATCCCCTGTCATCTGTCGTTCATCGAACAAAGCATGATGAATAATGCCAACATGATCGGTAGGATGAACTCAACTGGAGACTCTATTGTAGATGCCAGTTGGAAATGTAGATGGCTCGCAGCTTCCTGTTTAAAATAGTGACGTATGCGTGAACGTAACCGACGCAGTGACTTAGTGAGTGGTGTCACAATTCCTAGGGAAAGATTTCAACCCCTACCCCTCGTTGCTTCATTTCGAGGGCCAAGGGGTAGTGGGCAAGGGCTAGGGGTAGGGCCAAGGGCTAAAGGGTAGTGGACAAGGGGGGATATTGGGATTGGGCCTTGGTCTCATTCCCTCTCCCATTTTAAGGTTTGAATAACTTAACTTACTTATGGCTGAACGGACACTGGATTAGTCCTTGAATTGTCAGATTCTCAGCTCTAGATTCACTACAACTACAGATTGCAAGATGTTTGTAACACTCTTTCTGCTATAACTGTGTGTGCTACTGATCAATGTTAGCACTCCATTTGCAAAAAAATTGCATTTTCAAAATAGCCCAGTTTGGTGGGGAAACAACGTTGATAGTTGAGCAACATGAGTGTGTGTTTATTTGTTTTCAGTCCACAGATTAAATTCTGCTCTCAGCCAGTATCAGTATGGGCACTGCACTCAAGCCACAGCATCTCAGGTACAAAGACATCTTTAAATGCTTCTATAAACTGACTAATATGTGGTTTATTACTTGGTATCTTCAGTAAACAACTTGTATTTATGTAATTGACTTATTTGACTAAGTATACCAGACACATACTGGAATTTTGATTGATGAAGAGTATTTAGTAAAAATAACTACAACTGGGCACCCGATGATGCCTACCCTCAATTCCTGCATCTCTGCTCATCAGGTTGAGGAGGCGAGATGGGTAGAGTCTCCTACACCCTGGATCACAGACAGAAGGTCAGGTGCAATAAAAGACTTTCTCATATGACAGTTAACACATTCTTGTTTCAAGTCCGGGGTATGATATGAGTGCACGGAGAGCAAAAACTTTTTTAACACAAATTACATAATTCTTCATCTGTGTTACAGTATAATGGGTCCTCTGTTAGAGGAGTATGATCGGCACATGGATGAAATGACTCAACAGCTGCAGAGATACCAGGTAAAACACTGAAACAACGGCATACACGAATTGAATTCGACAGTGACACTTCACTGTCGAATTGAATTCGTGTATGCCGTTGTTTCAGTGTTACAGTTTTGCAGTAGCTACAGTTTATAATATTTCTGTAGATTAAATCAAGGAATATAATATGTTCGTGATATATTATAAACTGTAGACATCAAGTAATGAAAGGTTACATTTAAGATCTTGGAATATGCTAAACTGAGAAGTAGAAAGCTTCAAACTTCAAAAGATGAGCTGAGTGAATGTCATTATCAGTTTGTTTTAACATATTTTTGTTGGCTTTTAAAAAGAACGCTGATCTTTTATCATTTCTTCTCATGTATGGCTTTTCTGCAAATCCAAACTTAAAATTGTTAACCACAGAATGTCTGAACTAATTAATAACAGTTGGTGTTGGTCTACTTGTTTCAATCAACAGGCACTGATGACAGATGTCAAAGTAAAGTTGGAGAGTGTTGTCAAGGAGAATGAAAGGTAGGAATATTCTACAGGTGTCAACATATGGAGAGTAGTTACCCAAGAGGAGACAGAGGCAATCATTTATCAGATCAGTCAACATGAACCAAGTTTTTCTGTCATGCTTTATGTTCTTATACCCTGGGAACCAGTCCAATCTGTGAAGTCAAGTTTTATTTACTCTGGCAGATGCGTCTAGCCCCCTCCTGTTCAGACAGACCTCTAGCCAGCCTTGCCTGCTAAGGGCCAATCACAACAGTTTATCTAATACAGGGCGTGTTTCAGAGGATGACTTGACTACTTGCGCTTCATGCAAAATATGTGATGATGTCATATTTGGCCCATGTCCCATAGCGTCGGAGTGACCACTGTAAGCATAAAATTAGCTTAGTAAAGACGAGTGCCATTGAGGCAGTTCTTTGTAAACAACCAAGATGGCTGCAGCTGATGTTGAACTTTCTGCTGGAGCTGCTATTGCAACGAACAGCAACACTTTTTTCTAGATATATTGATGCTATATCTTCATAGCTCATCTCTGCATGCTGTATTCTGTTTACATTTGTCCGTTCCTCAGCGCTAGGTCGCATTACATCACTCTAATTAGTTGTAGCTCATTCCAATTGTGTCCAGAGACATTTTTGTCTACAGTCATTGACAACAGCCTTTGGATATTGAAAATGAACTGAGAGGTTCCAGACTAATTCACATTTGTGTTTTGGTTTGGCAATATTGGGCTAGTTCTTAGGAAATATCAAATAATTAATTGGTTTTCAAATTTCAATTATTATACTTTGAGTTACTTTAATTATTTCTATTGGTTTCACTGAAAATAAGGCAATAGCAGGACTGTACATGGACTTTTTGCACATGGGACTGTTGCTGGAGAGGTTGGAAAATTTGTATCACAGGCCACAAAACTGTAGCAACTGTAGCAAGTATTAAGTAAGTCGTAGTTTGAGACAATTCTAATTCTATGTTGGGGGCAGTTTGAAAGTCACTTTCTAAGACCTTACATATTAATGTAGTACTGAAAAATGCAGATATTGTTTTAAATATTTTTATGTATTTATTATTATTTATGCAGCAAGAGAGAGAGGGGCTTAGTTTTGATCATGAAGTTCAGTGTTACTGTACATGTCTCCGGTTTATCAGTTAAGGGTATGACCTACACTGGATTTTATGAATAACAACGAACAGAGTGAAGGTGGACTCTATATGAAGGTGTCCAACATGGGTAGAATGCCTGTTGGCAGGTCCACATTGCATACAGTAATTCTGTCGTATGAAGTGGCTGTATTGTCACAGTGCTGCATTTTATAAACACATCTGTCGCCCACAACAATGCACTATGGAATTGCGTCACACACAAACAAGAGCACAAACCCTTACATCAAACAAACAAGGACTTTTGTCTCACACACAAGCAGTGCGAGCTGTAGAGCAAGGCCCTTTTTCAGAAAGCAATATTAGTGGAAACTCTGAGTGTGTTAAGCCTGAGATGAGGGAAACTCTGACTTTTCCGTTTCACAAAGCTAGTTCAGCATAACAGTTACTATGGCAACATACTCTGTGACGCAAACCTGTGAGCCAGCATTTAAGCCTGAGGCTGATCGCCTGCTGAGCGTGTGCCATGAAGGAGGAACATGGCATGTCCTTTTGTGAATAAAGTGGTGGAGGTTGAGGCACACTTTATTCAGACGCTGTTTAGTAAGGTGATGTTGATTAGATCCCATTTGGATGTCTCCCCGTAGGAGTGTCTATATGAAAGATTCAGTTTCACCTCACACTATCATTCATCTAACAATCTGTTCCACCCAGATATATCAGATGTTACACATCATGGATTTGCATTGTCTTCGCAGCAAATTTTATGCATTGCCCTTTGATTATTTTCTTTATAATATCAGATACACTGAACACATCAGCAGGACAGCGGTTTGTTGGGCTGTGAGAAAAGTGTCTCTGGCTCTGACAAGACTTTTTCCCGTTTTAGCGGTTTTCTCTGGACATAAATCAGAAAGGATTATGAAAGACATGTTTGACAGGTGGGTTAGTGGATGGAGCAGGAGCCCCATGAACAGGAGCCAGAGTCCTTGTTGCAGCAGCTGCGGGTTCAAATCCAGCCTGCGGTCTTTTGCTACATGTCTTTCCCTCTCTCTCTCCCCCCTTAATACTATGCTGCCCTGCCATTAAAGGCAACAAAAGCCCAAAAAATAATCTTTAAATAAATAGAAAAGAGGAATTCCACAGAACTGCAGGTTTGTCAGTGTTAATAAGAAATTATTATACGTAGATACATTTTGCAATGATTTATGAATACTTTTAATATATTAAAAAATTCCGCGTGTAATTGGCTCATCTATGGGACTCACATCCCCATCATAGCTCCATCTGAGCATAAAGGAGATTACATGAATAGGAAGTCATTTCACAGCAGTTCAATTAACATAAGCCTAATATTGACAGAATGAAGTAAGTATATGCAAAATTTTTACCTGTCTGTACAATAACTTTGTGTTTGATTTTGATTTGCTGCCCAGTGCGTTTGGGCTCCAACAGAATACAGCTGAATAAGAGGATGTAGCAAATTATATTAATATACAGTACAGGCCAAAAGTTTGGACACACCTTCTCATTCAATGCGTTTTCTTTATTTTCATGACTATTTACATTGTAGATTCTCACTGAAGGCATCAAAACTATGAATGAACACATGTGGAGTTATGTACTTAACAAAAAAAGGTGAAATAACTGAAAACAAGTTTTATATTCTAGTTTCTTCAAAATAGCCACCCTTTGCTCTGATTACTGCTTTGCACACTCTTGGCATTCTCTCAATGAGCTTCAAGAGGTAGTCACCTGAAATGGTTTTCCAACAGTCTTGAAGGAGTTCCCAGAGGTGTTTAGCACTTGTTGGCCCCTTTGCCTTCACTCTGCGGTCCAGCTCACCCCAAACCATCTCGATTGGGTTCAGGTCCGGTGACTGTGGAGGCCAGGTCATCTGCCGCAGCACTCCATCACTCTCCTTCTTGGTCAAATAGCCCTTACACAGCCTGGAGGTGTGTTTGGGGTCATTGTCCTGTTGAAAAATAAATGATCGTCCAACTAAACGCAAACCGGATGGGATGGCATGTCGCTGCAGGATGCTGTGGTAGCCATGCTGGTTCAGTGTGCCTTCAATTTTGAATAAATCCCCAACAGTGTCACCAGCAAAACACCCCCACACCATCACACCTCCTCCTCCATGCTTCACAGTGGGAACCAGGCATGTGGAATCCATCCGTTCACCTTTTCTGCGTCTCACAAAGACACGGCGGTTGGAACCAAAGATCTCAAATTTGGACTCATCAGACCAAAGCACAGATTTCCACTGGTCTAATGTCCATTCCTTGTGTTTCTTGGCCCAAACAAATCTCTTCTGCTTGTTGCCTCTCCTTAGCAGTGGTTTCCTAGCAGCTATTTGACCATGAAGGCCTGATTGGCGCAGTCTCCTCTTAACAGTTGTTCTAGAGATGGGTCTGCTGCTAGAACTCTGTGTGGCATTCATCTGGTCTCTGATCTGAGCTGCTGTTAACTTGCCATTTCTGAGGCTGGTGACTCGGATGAACTTATCCTCAGAAGCAGAGGTGACTCTTGGTCTTCCTTTCCTGGGTCGGTCCTCATGTGTGCCAGTTTGGTTGTAGCGCTTGATGGTTTTTGCGACTCCACTTGGGGACACATTTAAAGTTTTTGCAATTTTCCGGACTGACTGACCTTCATTTCTTAAAGTAATGATGGCCACTCGTTTTTCTTTAGTTAGCTGATTGGTTCTTGCCATAATATGAATTTTAACAGTTGTCCAATAGGGCTGTCGGCTGTGTATTAACCTGACTTCTGCACAACACAACTGATGGTCCCAACCCCATTGATAAAGCAAGAAATTCCACTAATTAACCCTGATAAGGCACACCTGTGAAGTGGAAACCATTTCAGGTGACTACCTCTTGAAGCTCATGGAGAGAATGCCAAGAGTGTGCAAAGCAGTAATCAGAGCAAAGGGTGGCTATTTTGAAGAAACTAGAATATAAAACATGTTTTCAGTTATTTCACCTTTTTTTTGTTAAGTACATAACTCCACATGTGTTCATTCATAGTTTTGATGCCTTCAGTGAGAATCTACAATGTAAATAGTCATGAAAATAAAGAAAACACATTGAATGAGAAGGTGTGTCCAAACTTTTGGCCTGTACTGTATATGGACACTGTTAAGATAAATAAATGTCTATATTTTCTGTATATTAGACACATTAATGCATCATGTTACATAACATCACTTCAAACTATCTATTAACACACTGCAGTTTTTTCCATCCCAACTCACGCTGTTTCGCTGCAGCTGCTGTATTAGGTTTTTTTTTTTTTCCACGTCTTCATTCATGGTCATTAAAATCTCCGATTCAGTTGGTTTGAAATAAGTGGCTCTGCTTTTAACTCCTCTTTCTGCCACTGAAAATCATGTTATCTGCACTCCATTGATGATGGCTTTATAAGCTCACCATGAGCGCGCTTCTCTCAGGCTGAACATGCTTAGAGTTGATTTAGTTCATTCTGATCACCTGTTCTGGAACCGAAAACTCAGTGTAGCATGTGCAACATGCATGTCCCACTGTACAGGTACATGCACTGTTGAGGTAGTAGAGTAGTAATGTTAGTTCGGTTGTTATTTCTTTATTGATAATCAAGGCACCTTGATAAATAAAATTACAGCGAAATAAAGTATGCTGATTGAGTGTGATTGAGGTTGTGATATTTCATTTAAAATCATCAACTATTAGCAATTTTTATTTATATTTTTATATAATGCTCTTAACCCCCAACTTTGCCAGGTTGCATGCAGAACTCAGGGAGTCTGTTGAGAAGCAGCTTCATGCCCTGCTGATGGCTTCAGGAGTGGAGGACAGCACATTGGAGGAGGAAGCAGCTACTAGAAACCTCCAAGAACAACTCCAGCTATGTGAACAGGTTTGCAAATGTCCATATGTGTTTAATGTTTATGTTTAAACCAGGCATGGACTAGATGATTGAACATTGACACTTTTGGTATTTGGTACCAGAATTACCAGTTGTTTAAACTTATTAAGGTACCATGAGGAAAAACAGGAGGAGTTTGGATCAGCATGTAAAATTAACTAGCGGTTAAGATCATCAACCGCACTACGGATCTCTCTTTTTCTTTTACACACACACACACACACACACACACACACACGTTTGTGTGTCAGTTTGTGTGTGTGTGTGTGTGTGTGTGTGTGTGTGTGTGTGTGTGTGTGTGTGTGTGTGTG